ATCTTTGAGAAAGACAGTAAGACTGAAATTTTAACCAACAACCTAAGAAAATTTCTTTGAGATTATGGATCACGGTCTTAAATGGGGCAATGGTTCCAATAGTTTATACATCTAAACACATTTCACATTGTGCATTTTCATATGTTCAGTTTATTGTTTGCTAGGGATGTCTCATTTTTCTAAATCAGAGAGAAAGACTAAGAGTTTCAGAATTTCTGGCATCATCAGTATCCTTTTCTCCCTCTCTCCTCCATCTAGGGTGGTATCCTTAACTTCTGGTCAGGCTGCTGCTGCATTCAGTAATACACCTTACATGTGGGGGGCAGGAGCACAGCATGTGGGATCACCTGTGTTTACTGACATCTGCTTCTGAACATTGAGTTAAACTCCTAAAATTCACAGAGGAAATAGGGTACCTATTGGACATGAGTGCCTGTCAATGACTGATGACTGAGGGAAAAAACAGTGATCCTTGCTGAAGTACAGATGCTGTCAGGAGTCTAACTAACCACTCTTCGCTCCATGCTGGTGGCAGTCTGAGACTGACTGATGTTTGCCTTTGCTAACTGAGGAGGAAAGAGCAGGGGCAAGTACTCTCACAAATATTTAGATTCTGTGTGCAAATACCAAGGGCCAGAAGAACTCTTTAGACCAGCAAAGGGGAACTTCACTAAAACACCAGGAGGTGATTAGGAAGGTAAACATTTTGACAAGATGCGAAGACATATTCCAGAAGGATGAGCTCCTAAGGTCAAGAGAAGAAAACTTTGGTTTGTTTATTTTAGCTAACATGGATGCCAGTTTTTGTAAGTGCTTTCTAAAGCAAGCCATTATGCCTAGCAACCAGCTTGAATAATCAATAAACTTTATGTGAAAATGTGTTTTTTTGTTTTATTTAAAACAATATGATTTTCAATGTCTATGTAAATGAATTTAGTTTAGGGCTCAACTTATGTTAAAAAATAAGAACATATAAAATTTCAGTCTTTATAATCTCTCAACTATCAACTGGAGATTTTATAAGTTCTTGATTACCAAGTGCTTATTTTTAAACATACTACCATATGGAATTAGTCTGATCCCCACTTCAACACAAATTCATGGTTACAACATGTTCAAATAACCAACTGATATTATACTCTGAACTATAAATTAACACCTAGAATTGCATGTATACAATATCAATAAGGCTACAAAATGACATTATTTTTAAATTATAAGTTAATATAGCATTTCCAGGATAATTTGTTGATAACATACCATTTAGTTTATTTATTTTGAATAAAGAAATTCCAAAAATAAAAATAAACTCTTTGAGGCACTGATTTGGGCTTTCTTGTACTGGAGAGATATCACTAACATTCTTAATGGTCTATGCTTAGCAGTTTTCACTTTGTATTCTGTATAAAGTCACCTCAGTTTCTGAGATGGGGGACTTAAATGCATTATAATGCAGGTCTCCTTGACTAAGGAAAAATTGTGGTTTCATCTTACTACTCCTGAATCTGAACTGCCCAGAGATATTCTATTGTTACCCCTCGTCTCTCTCCCTTTCCATGAACTTGTTTGAATGTAAACACCTGTCAATGTTATTTTCTCTGCATTAGCGGATTGAACTAGCATAATCAAAGAGTTAATGGGAATAGACTTCAACTAGAAAAGTTTATGGTATGGTGGATAAATTCTGTAGCCTGAATGACAGAGCTGAAGGTGTCAGGAATATTTCTAAGGTAGCTTCTCCCTCTGTCAACTTTCTCCATGTCTCTACAACTCTATAGTGTATTTCTGTGTCTAAATTTACTCTTCTGAAAAATCTCACCTTAATTACCACTTTAAATATTATTTTTGTAAACAAAATAACATTCTTAGGTTCTGGGTATTTAAAATTCATCATTGAAATATGGGGGTGCACAATTCAGTCTTAATGTTGCTAAGGATCGAGATTCAGAAATGATGTGTCAATTTCCAGTGACCTTTTTTTTTTTTCGTTCTGAAATTTTATGTAAGGATGCATTTTTCTTTACTCTACTAAAACATTCATTCAGAAATCTTGACCTTGTGTGGCCACAGAGAAGGTCAATGTTTTATTTCATTCAGAGTCCATGACTTCAAGACACAGAATTCACTGATGATAGTTTATCAAAATAGGACATTTTAAGGGACACTAAAAACAACTTCACAGAACCAATAAAATTATTAGTGAAGCTCATAAAATGTAAGCATACAGAAAGATCAGCAGGTGTCATCACCGAGCAAAACTGAAGGCAGAGCAACGTAGCTATAGACTTCCCCTGGATCTTTACCACCTATTTCCACATAAAACACCCCAACCCACACTCTAAGAATTCAACTTGATTATTGGAAAATTCATCTCATGTATGCTTGCCTGGAAGTGTCTTCTAAGATATCATTAATGGACATTTCTCAGCCTAGATCCATATCCAAGTGTGATCATTTATCAACCTCATTTTGTGTGTGTGTGTGTGTGTGTGTGTGTGTGTGTGTGTGTGTGTTGTAGAAAACAACTGTGTAAGATATCTTCTTCTTTAAGGTATTATATATACATTATAAAAACCCAACCCCTTTCCAAGTTAACTTGATCTATACAATGGACATCCAAATACAGCCTTAATCTGTGATTAAAGGTGTGTGCCACCACATGCCTTTCCCAAGCAAAGGCATGAGATCTCAAGTGCTGGTATTAAAGGCATGTGCCACCACTTCCCAGTCTACAGTCTACATAGCTATAATACTTACTGTGTGGAAGAATTATATGTAGCTAGAGTTTTCTCCAGTCCTGCCTGGCATATGATCAGGACAAATCTCTCTCACCCACCAGTCCCGCAGCCACTCAGACCCAACCAAGTAAACACACAGAGACTTATATTACTCATAAACTGTATGGCCACAGTAGGCTTCTTGTTATCTAGTTCTTATATCTTAAATTAACCCATTTCTATTAATCTATAAGTTGCCATATGGCTCATCGCTTGCTGGTATCTTAACATCTGCTTCTCATCATGGTGGCTGGCGGTGTCTCTCTGTCTCAGCCTTCCACTTCCCAGAATTCTCTTTGTTTGTCCCACCTATCCCATACTTCCTTTCTGGCTACTGGCCAATAAGAGTTTTATTTATTCACAACATACAGGACATCCCACAGCACTTCCTTTTCCCGTTTCTCAGGTAATAT